TCCACTGAGAACACAAAATTAAATTCCTATATCACATCTCCTAACCAGGAAGATACACCCACTGCAAAAGTCATCTGTGTACTTGCATCATCACATTAATAGACTAAGACCTATATGCTTCCTAAGCAACCTCAACCTTCTGTACATCACTTTTATCTCCTAACTTTTCCCCTTTATCTGTTTTCCATTAGGTGGCTTGAGGTAAGAAAGTTGATTCACAGCAGCTGGCAGTTACTTCACATTTTTTCATAGTAATTACTCCTTTTTTTATGTCAGGGAGTTTAGTTTCCTCCTGACATTAAGAGCTGCTCTTGGCCTCAGAGCTTGTCATTCAGAGCAAAAAGATCACTTTGACAGTTGTCTTTTGCATGAACTGAATCTCCTTGTCCCTCAACCCCAGTGTATGTATGCTACAGTCATTTCAGATGTGGATCCTTGCTAGTTATTCTGCAAGGATAAGGCTAAGGGAGGGGAATCCTGGTGAGAGTATGAAGTTCTTGCCCAGCACTAGCAGTAGATCAGGACATGCAGGTAATTGTCCCTGTTTTGAGTTATCGTTATGCCAATGCAATAAAAACTGTTCTTGCTTATGAGCTTCTGACAGCAGTAGTGCAAGTGGGCTTCTGGTTTATAGCCATGGTGTCTTAATGTGCAAATGACTTACGGAATCTCATTTTGACCTGCCTATTTTACTCTTATCCTGTGGCAAGATAAAAGTACCATTTTAAAGTTGACAGCAATTGAGCCAGAAAAATTTGTTTAACTCTTACAAGTTTCCTAGGAAAAGGAAACTCACTGGAGAGGAGTTTTGTAGCTTTAAAATGTTGTTCCAAGAAGAGATACTCTGTATAGTGTTTGTTTGTTCAAAATTTTCAGGTATGTAAAATAGAACTTATTCCTTGTTTATGAGGAGCCAACAGGCCAGTGGAACAAATGTTCAGTGTGACGAACAGAGTACTGAATGAGAGGAAAAATCAAATAAGAGTAGACAAGTGTTGGGGTGGTTTTTCTACCCAATGGGAACAGCAGTGAAATTTTTTGCCATAAGCTGGCTTGAAACACTGAGACCTATTGAGAATTCTCCAGTTTAAGAAAAAGATTTGGTAATTTCAGAGTAAGAAGCTGGCACCTGGGAAGTGAGCATGGTGTTTTTAATCAAGTGCAATTTTTGTCTTTTGTGTGACTATTTCATGACCTTTAAAAAATAATCAGAAATATCCTTGGCTTTTGATTTTTGAAAAATGGTGAATGTAATTACAGGGCTCTTGTCTATTGCATTTTTTTCTTGTATGTGTGATGAAAGAACTGTACTTGCTTAAACAACAGGGGAGTAATTATACTTCCCTATATTTGCAAAACCCTTAATACTGTACTGGGCACTGCTACACTGTGGACTTAGTGACAATTTGGTCTTAGTAGCCCAGTAAGGAAATGATTGTGTAATTCACTGAGCCATTTTACCGAGATTATCTTAAACAGTAGCTTTTAACTTAGGGGTTTATTTAATACAGTTCAGTAGCTTAATGCCTAGCTTCGTACCTGAGCTGCTGCAAAATTCTCTTTCTTTAAGAAGAATGTATGTCACAAATTGTAATTGCTGCTGTGTTCTTCTCACATACATAAATCTAAAAGAACCCCCCTGAACCCAAAGTGTCCTTAGTTCTGCCAAAGTTCACATAATGGTTTGGATAAAGTGCTGTGGCTCAAATCCACTTCTAATTTTTTCCCACTGTTGGCTTCTGGGTTGCTACTTTAAATCTGAAAAGCAATTCTGTAATTACTTGGTGCAGAAGCATTCATGAGAACAATAAGAAGAAACTTATTATCATAGTGGTCTTTTTTTATGTCAGGTCTCTTCCTTTTTTGTATAACTTAAGAATTATTCACTTTACAGTTGTTCTATGAGTGTCTTCAGCAGTTTTGGGTTGGTTTCTCAATCTGTAAAACCAGTCATGCTAATTACATACTTTTCACTGCTTTTTTACAGTGTAAAGTGTCATCCTAAATAAATAACAAGCCATAGTTGTGGCTTCTGGAATCTTGCAGAAGCAGAGCAGCCTACTCTAACAAAAAAGTCAAGATCAGCTATTTACTTTTATCCAAAGATTTTTTTAAAGGGCAGAATCTTTCTCCTTGTAATTTAAACAATATTCAGGGTTTTTTTCCAAATCAATTGCTCAAACTTAAAAAAAAAATACTGCCTATCCATGTAACTGACAATGCCCAATAACAGGAAAGCTCAGAACAAGAGCTGACTGAGGAATGGTAAGAATTTTTCCTCCAAGTATTTTTTGTTATGTTTGCAGTTAAGCATAAAACCAAATACAATGATGAAGAGGGGAAATAACAACAGGGTGTCTCTTGCTCATTTCTGTCAACCTCCTTTACTTCAGTGTATCTCTGAGGTTGAAATGGAATTATCAGCATGTTTTTGCTTTCTGTGAATCAGATTACTTTATGTGGAAATGCATAAAATTAAGGAAAAGTGGAAGAAGTGTTCAGACTTTTGCTCACTTTATAAAATTGCAAATACAGATATGGGTAAAAAAAGTCTACAAGCTTCTGTTTTCCACCTCTGCCCTTTCTTTCCTGTTCCAATGGTCTCTTACTTTTGTGAATGGAACTGATACAAGGGAAGGCTAAGGGCAGTTACTGCTACCTCTGTCCCATGTACCTTTCCTCCAAATATTGTTTGCCTTGTGCATCTGTTGGCCCTGGAGATGGAGGCAAGCCTAACTTTTCTGGCATGGACTCCTCCTTCCAACAGATTTTCACTGTGTAAGTTTACATTTTGGATTACTGCCCACTTTGATGCCTAGTGTCATTTTTGCCCATAACACGTGCAAAAAATAGTTACTAGAAATTGCAAGTTTTACGTCCCTATATTTCAAAAGGAAAAAAAAAACCCAACAATTCCAGGTGAAGTAGGTTGACCCTGGCTGGGTACCAGGCACCCACTAAAACTGCCCTCTCCCCTCTACAACTGGACAGGGGAGAAAATATAACAAAGGGTTCATGAGTTGAGATAAGGTCTGGAAGAGATCACTCACCGATCACCATCACGGGCAAAACAGACTCAGCTTGGGGATATTAACTGAATTTTTTACTAACAAAATCAGAGCAGGATAATGAGAAATAAAATAAATCTTAAAAACACCTTCCCCCACCCCTCCTTCCTTTTGAGCTCTGCCTCCTGCCCCCAAGCAGCACAGGTAGACCAGGAATGGGTGTTATGGTCAGTTCATCACAAGTTTCTGCTGCTGCTCAGGGAGAAGACTCCTTCCCCTGCTCCAGTGTGGGGTCCCTCCTATGGGAGACAGTTCTCCATGAAGTTCTCCAACATGAGTCCCTCCCATGGGCAACAGTTCTTCACAAATGGCTGCAACATGGGTCACTTTTCCATGGGGTGCAGTCCTTTAGGCACAGGCTGCTCCAGTGTGGATTCCCCACAGGCCCACAATCCTACCAGGAAAGCCTGCTCCAGCATGGGCTCTGCTCTCCATGGGTCAGCAGGTCCTTGCCAGGACTATGCTCCAGCATGGGTTTCCCACAGGTTCATAGCCTCCTTCAGGCATCCACCTACTACAGCACGGGTCTCCTCCAGGGGCTGTAGGTGGATCTCTGCATCCCTGTGATCCCCCATGGGCTGCAGGGGCACAGCTGCTTCACCATGGTCTGCACCACGGGCTGCAGGGGAACCTCAGCTCCGGTGCCTGGAGCCTCCTGCCCCTCCTTCTCCACTGACCTTGCTCTCTGCACAGTTGTTCCTCTTACATATTCTCACTCTGCTGTTCTCTGGCTGCAATTATATCTGCACAACAACTTAGTTTTCCTTCTTAAATATGTTATCATAGAGGCATTACCACCATTTCTGATTGGCTTGGCGTTGGCCAGTGGCATGTCCATCTTGGAGCCAGCTGGCATTGGCTCTGCTGGACATGGAGGAAGCTTCTAGCAGCTTCTCCCAGAAGCCACCCTGGTAGCCCCCACCCCACTACCAAAAGCTGGCCACACAAACCTAATACACTAGGCTATTCTCATTTTTAGTTTAACTACCAACAACATTCTATTTTCTAATCTTGCATTGTAATAAGAGACTTTGCTCTGCAGCTTTTTCCAGTTAAACTTGCTCACAGTCAAAAATTTTGCCTCAGTAAAAGCTATGCCAATATTCTAGTGCTGTGTAAAGATGCTCCAAGCTGGGACTTGAAATCTGGGTCCTTCTGTGCCCTGAGGAAATTAGACTCAGCCTAAATCCAGGCTGGACCTGTAGATATGATGGATAGGTGTACTAAGCCAAAGAAATTGTAAACTGAACACTTTTCTCTGTCGTCAATCTCTAAATATCAAGATTTATGTTTCCTGTGGAACATTTTTTTGGTTGAAGCTTTTAATTATGAAAGAATTGTGGTCAGAAGACATGGAGCATTCTTGCACATGAGAAACCTAATGTAAGAGAAGTAATTTTCCCACAATTTTGCAATTAGAAGATATTGTCACTACATTACAATGAGAGAACACCTTGATGCAGTCATTTTAAGAAAAAAGATTTGCTATTGACCATCCCTTTCTAACAGCTCTGCAGTGAATACTGGTTCCAGGTTCTACACAGGTAAGTTTCAGATGAAGAGTTTTTCTTTTGAACAAAAGGAATGAGGAGAAAGACACAATGAGACAGCAGTCTCCAGACCTCTACTGTCTCAGGAAATGGCCTGTGTGAAACTAAATTGACTTGAAACTAAAAAGCTGATTGCTTGATCAGTGCAACAAGGGGAAACTACCAGGTGACAAATACCAATGGTTTGTGGAGGGAGGGGGGAGGCTTTTAAAGTCTAAGGATAGTGCTTGATGCATGCTTTATGTAAACTGTTATTGCTGTTAGCATAAAATTATTTCATTCTGTCTGTCTTCTTTCCCTTCTGGACTTGGCCGGGCCATGTACAAATCCCAATCATTCAACTGTACTGGAGAGTAGATAGTATTTACCTCAATAATGGTAGTTTCTTTTCGGTTCTTTTTAACCCTCAATTCAGATGATGGTTCGAAGCCAACGCCTACCATGGAAACCCAGCCTATTTTCGATGGAGAAGGTAAGAACATCCCTTAAAATAACAACAAAAAAAGCTACTTCCCTCTCCCTTTTCTCTAGGGTTTATGGCTTAAATGCTTTCTTATCCTGCAAAGCAGAAAAGCCAGTGAATCTCATAAGTTATCCAAATTTCACAGTGCCCTTGGGACCTCAGGCATTTTCCCTAATCCTTTTACATCCTCCCTACTCTTCTGGAATCCAACAATAACACCAGTTGACCAGATTCTTGGCATCATCTTCAAGTAAAAAGTGTCAGGGTAAATAAGAAAAGGTGCATCAAGTCAGAAATGGCAACTTCCTTTAGACTGTCCTTACCCCTTTACTATCTCCACCTTCATGATACTAATGCTGGGAGTTTCATAACCTCTGCAGTGTGTTACAGCTTCACAAAAGGAAGGGTAATGCTAAACCACAGCTTGTGAATGTTGACTTGGATGAAAATTGCTGGGAGGTTTCTTTATTTAGCAATTGCTTTCATTGACGCACACACTATTTAAGCAAATGAAGTCATTGTCCTAGGCCCACTTAATTCATGGCCCACCCAGGCAGTTTCCTTCTCAAACGGGCAATCTTGCAATTGTATTATTTTGGATAGGGAATTTCAGACCTCAGTCTACCGAAAGCCTTTATACAAGGATAAAATGGCTGTCATCACAGAGGGTTCAAGCCTTTTACACGTACAAACATAAATACCCGTGGGGATAGTGGTCCTTTGGTAATGAATGGGCCTAGTAGCAACTGCTTATATCTTGCATATTGCTTAGAAGTAGTGCATGTTTTCTGCAGGTTTAAACCCACAGCCATTATAGTAAAGCTATGGGCCAAAGTATGAACCACTCTGTGACATATCTGAAACTGTGGATCATAAGGCAGTGAGGGAAAGCCTATGTGTTTCATAGTGGTCTGCTGTACTTCACTTTTTTTTTTTAAACTGGATCAAAGTCAGAAATGGAGACTACTGAGCAAAAGTAGGTGGTACTGTACTGTTGATAGTTTATGCTTTCTTGTAAGAATAGGTGATGGGGTGGGGTTTTATTGTTGCTAAAATAATCTTATTTAATGGCAAGATGCTGTGGTCCTATCACTTCCATTTAGTGATCATAGGTTTGTAAGAATCTTCTTGTGAGCTTTAAGAAACAGCAAAACCCTCAGAGCAAAAAGCATTCTCAAATAAACAAAGGAGACTGAAGCCATGCTGACTATCTCTTGTTTATATCAAAAGAAAGTTCCTCCTGGCAGCAAGCTGATACTGTATTAAATTACTGTTTGTAATCACAAACTTCTGACCTTTAAGTCTTCCCCTCAGAGGGTGCTCATAGATATTCAAAGGAAAGAATGTGCTAGTAGAATGCAGGAATGAGATTGTGATTAATACAGCCTATTCAGAAACTCCTTCTGGGAGAGGCTCAACATTTTGGTCAATGAACTGGGCAAAGTTCTTGAAGTGGTATGGTGAACAGACCTTTTCTGGTCCTTCTGGGGATAGGCAGAGTCTGAAAAAAGTGTTCTCTTCTATGAAAAACATTTTCAATCAAAAACCTTTACATTGATTTGTAAGTGGACTCAAGTCTGATAAATGGGCTTGGACTGTGTGATGAAAGATTGCCTCTCACAAATGTTACAATATATTATGCAAGACCTTATCTACTAGACTTTGAGTGAGAATGACTAATGCAATGGCTTCCTATTGTATTAGTGATGTCCCTTATGACTAGGGAGAAAAGACTGACAGGCAGATTAATCAAGCTATGCATCGATGAATAACCTCTTCTAAGTTTGTCACTCTATATTTTTGTCATCTCTACCAGTAAAATAGGACTAACTAGATTTCACTGATGGTTGTAACAATAAGCACAAGAAAACCCATTCTGTGCCTGACCAAAGGTTTGTGTAATCCACTATGTTTTGAGCATGCTGCCTCCAACAGTTCGCTAAAGTGGGTAGACAGGGAAGAGTAAGAAGCATTTGACTTTAAAGGTGACCTAATAGCAACCTTCCAGTATCTCCAGGGAAGTTTTTCAAGAAGATGGAGCCAGGCTCTTTGTATTAATGCATGATGAGAGACAACAGTCACAAATTGAAACATAATGGTTGGACTGAATATAAGGAAAAACTTTGTCACCCTGAGGACAATGAGGTAGTGGAACAGATGGCCCAGAGAAGTGATATTCTGTGCTTCCTTTCTGAGCCAGCTGGATAAAGCACAGGGGCAGGTTGGCTCTGGCAACTGAGTCCTGGGGTGCCTCAGTCAAAGCATCACCAACCAGTCCAGGTGATTGTCCTGCTCTGCTCTGCACTGGTGTGGCCTCACCTTGAATATTGTGGCAGTTTTGGGCACCACATTATAAGAAAGACAGTAGGCTCTTAGCATCTAAAGGAGGGCAACAAAGATGGTGAAGGGCCTTGAGGGGAAGCCATATGAGGAGTGGCTGTGGTCACTTGGTCTGTTCAGCCTGGAGAAGAGAAGACTGAGGGGAGACCTCATTGCAGTCTACAACTTCTGCAGGAGGGAAAGAGAAGGGGTGGGGTCTGATCTCTTCTCTGTGGTGACGAGTGATGGGACCAGAGGGAACAAGATGAAACTGTCAGGGCAGGATTAGGTTGGATATTAGAAAAAAGTTCTCCACCCAGAGGGTGGTTGGGCACTGGAACAGGCTCCACAGGCAAGTGGTCACAGCACCAGCCTGCCAGAGTTCAAGAAGCATTTGGACAATGACAATGCTCTTAGGAGCATTGGAGCTGTACTGTGTGGGGCCAGGAGTTGGACTTGATTTGTGTGGGTCCCATCCAGCTCAGGATATTCTATGATTCTAAAATCCTAAGCAACTTGATCTGTTCTTTTAGCTGACCCTATCTGGATCAGAAAGTTGGACTAGACACCTCAGGATGTCATCCTGAACAATCCCTTGATTCTGTGTGAGCAAACATGTCGCGATACTTCACTAGAATACTCTCCCAATGCCCTGGCTAGGTCTTCCTCAGGAATAGCTTGTACTTCATGTCTGACACAAATGGCAGATGACAGAAAAGGGCAAAAGAGTTATCAGTTCACCTGTCAGGTCTAGAATCTTCACAGATGTTCAAAGGAGTTGAAGTCCAGATCCTGTTCCATTTCATTGGGTTTGAGAACTGATGGGTTCCTGTAAACCTGTATATTCAAAGTCAGGCAGTCAGGGTAGAGCTGATAGCAACATGAATGGACAATAAAAATGTGAATTTTTTTTCATGTTTTGCCTTTGGTTGCCCACCTTCAATACACAAGGGGCTGACTTTTTTCAAAGGGCATTAAATACACTCAGCTTCCCCTGAAATGTGTGATACCTCTTGGACCTCAACATCTCCAAGATGAAGGTTCACCTTTCTCATCTTTTCACCTACATTAGAGGATAATGAAAATTCACATTTCAGGCATAAGTTCTCCTCCCACTCCATATCATCCTTCCTGAGGGCATAAGAGAGCAGTGCCAGAGATAATGTAAATCAGATCAGTTAAATTCTGCCATCCAAGGTTTAAATCATAAATCAGCCATCTCTTTAAAATTATTTCATATCATTACAATGCAGGTCTTAGAGGTGTTTATAGTGAATCTTAGGACAAGATTCTCCTCTGCTGAAGACTGTTTCATTAATACCCCTGCTATAGCTTTAAAAAATTGTATTCCCTCTTGCACTTCTAGGTTCTGTTTATTTTGCATTCACCCTCTATTTAGTTTCAATATGCAAGGTGTAGTAATTTCCTAGAGATATCTTCTTTAAGCACCTTTTCTTTCTCTTAATTCAGTGGTAATCTACTCTGTCCACATATCTGTTGTTCAGACGAGTCTGTGTTGCTTGCCTGTATTCAAAAATAATGTCCAAGTTAACTGGATTAAAAATACATTTTTATGCTAGATTCCAAAGGAATAATTTCTTTTTCTTTTTCTTTCTCCTCTTTTCCCAGAATTCCTTTTTATGCACCTTTCAACCTTACTGAAAGATGTGCACCATTGTGTTTCTAAAGGCCTTTATTCATTCTTCAGCATCTATTGACTTTGGTTGTCCCTCCTTTTTCAGCTATAGACATATCCAGTCCATATGGTGCAGAGTCAGTGCTAAATTTCATCCCAGATTTTGGCCCTTTATTGGGAGAACTACTTCAAATTAAACACTGGGTAAGAGCTAGGAAGGAGAGAAGCATAAAAATAGAAATAATCCATAAATCCATTCATTAAAATAGTGTAGTGAAACCTGCAGATAGGACAATTTTTGATATTCCAGCAGTAACAAAAGTTTGCTTAACAGTATTCAACTAATATTTCCTTGTGGAAAAAAATGCCCTGAACACAATTACCATAATGCCTACAATAACCATAGCTGAAAATATTTAGGAAGGAGAAATTTCTTTTTTTCCCCCTTCATGCTCTTGTAATGTATAATCAGTTTCTCTTGTAGTCAGCTAGCTTCTCCCTTTGCTGAGCAGATCCATGTAAGTGTCAACAAGGGAGTAGGAAAAACTTTTGCAAAATCTTCTTAGAGGAACTATTTAAGGTGTGTTCTTGTGGGAACTAAAATTTTTTTCAAAAAGTATCAGTTTTGAAAATGCCACTTGAGGTGTTCTAGCCAATGGTATCGAGTATTGCTTTGTTCAATTCTAGTCAAATGCTGAGGTTGTATCTTTTCTGTGGATTAGGGCAGGTTCCGATGTGTTTTAAAGTTGATTATAACACACCTCAGAGGAGGTGCTCTAAGCACTTTTTCCCCACAAATTTATGTTTAGATGTCTTGGTTAGTGCATCAGACATGCTTTTCTAACCAGGACTTGTTTCTTTAATAGATTGACTTTCAAGTCTTTCCAGAAATATCTTCATGTCTCTGCCTATTTATTTCGGATTTTGTTGTTGCTTGTTTCAGGGAACTGACTGTGGCCAGCTTTTCTTGGGCTGTTAGAGCAATATTTAAGGTCTGGATTGACTTATTTTAAAATAGGGGTTTCATATGTACTTTCAGGAGAAACAAAATATACTATAGCACACAATATAATCTTTGAGATCTCTAAGTCCTGAAGAGGAAGGCTTTAGACTTGAGAAATTAGGAAGTGGGGGATAGAGAGATTTAATAAAAATGTTTTACCAGCAGAGAGGTACTCCCTGGAATGGGAAGATAATGAGATAGCCTTGTGGAAGATTTACAAGTGGTGGTTCATAAAAGGTGGAAGATCTCACCAGGAGATGAGCCTGTCTCTACAAAGATGATGGATCAGTTAAGGCATGATTGTAGCAAATGTTTTGTCTTCTGTGAAGACAGATTGAAAGAGCAGAGATTGTCAAGCTTGGAGAAGAGAAGGCTCTGAGGAAACCTTGATAGCACCTTCTAGTCCCTGAAGTAAACCTACAGGAAAGCTGGAGAGAGATTTTTAACAAGGGCATGTAGTTGACAGGACGAGAGCTAATGGCTTCAAACTAACAGGGTAGGTTTGGATTAGATATAAGGAAAAAATTCTTTACTGTGAATGTGGTGAGGCACTGAAACAGGTTGCCCAGAGAAGTTGTGGATACCCCATCCCTGTAATTGTTCAAGGTTGGGTTGGATGAGGCTTGGAGCAATCTGGTCTAGTGGAAGGTGTTCCTGCATATGGCAGGGGGGTAGAAACTAAATGATCTTTAAGGTCCCTTCCAACCCAAACCATTATATGAGTCGGATTAACAACTATGTGTATTTACTAGTTGCTGTAGTTTCTCTAAGGATGTTATATTTTTCTCTTTCAGAAATCACAGCTCCAACCCTTTGGATTAAGCACTTGGTCATCAAAGATTCCAAATTGAACAGCTCCAGTATAAGAAATTCAGGTAACGTTCCATCTAAAAAAAATTTATTTTAACTAGTCTGCAGTTTCTTACCATCTGTTCTTGTTTCGTTCTTTCTTCATGGTAGCCATCATGGTGCTTGTGGGACTTGAAGTCCGATTATAAAATAATTTCAGATAACATCCTTATTTGTGTCCAGACGACCATAGTCAATATGTGATGAAGGGTGTTTGTTTCCACAGACCATAACTGGGGAATCTCTACTTTCTTGATCTGTTAGTTCACCCCAGCCATCTGCCATCTTTATTCTGTTTGCTGTTCAGCATGGATATACAAACTGATGTATTCGGCTCAAAGATCTGGGCTGTGGCTTTAGTCTAAGCAGTTGCAAAAATATAGAAAAGGGCTTCTTTTCTAGAAAATTCAAGATTCTTCTCTGCAGGGGATATTTTTTGATAGAGAAATGATTGGATAATTTCACAACTGAAAGTAGGTTACTTATGTCTGGGCCTAAGAAAATGTTGAGATTATTTTGTGGGTAATGGAGTGGATGAGGGAAAACCATAGCATAAAAAATAGCAAAAAAGAGATCCTGAACATAAGTGGGAAAATGGGAAGCAGGAAGATGTGAAGTTAGGGTGTAAAACTTGAGACTGGAGAGCAGGGTGAAATGGTGGTATAGAGTCATTGAAATCACAAGAAACTGGAGACTCTGATGAGGAAAGTTATGGATTCTTAGTAAGAATGGTTTCTGTCTGATATATATTAACTGAAGTGGGAGAAATTAAGAAATTAAAGGGAATAAGAGAAAGAAATTGCCATAAGAAGCCATGAGTTTACTTTAATGTTTGAATAGGAGATGCTACTATTTTCCATATCTTATGAAACAAATATGCCTAGAACTGGCTGCTGGGAATAATTCCAGTTGCCTGAACAGGTAGATTGTGATATCTTGAAGTGTCTCATCACCTGGTATTTCTGGATTAGCTAGAGAGCATTCACGACAGTTCCTTTAGCCTTCCTATGCCACTTCCCAGCTGCAGGGTGAACTTGGTCCTAGGTTGGGTGAAATTCTCTTGCTGCAGAGTGGAGAAGATCTCTTAACAGGCAGATGTCCATCATTGTCCAGACCACAGTTTTAACAAGTGTCTTGTGCCTCACCTCCAAACTGGTTTTGTAGCAGGGTGGTCTGTGTAAGATCTGCCAGTGGGAATCATCCAGAAGCTTCAGATGATATATGAGTATCAGCATCCTTCTTTAAGGATGTCTTTCAGGGGAAAGCAAATGCAGCTTCTGTTCTGTGAGCTTCTGGCACAACCAGCAGCTCACAGGGCAATTGAAAGCGACAGTTTAATATTAAAATCCTGTGTAATGGGTCCTACCTATTTTGGTGACCAACTTTTCTACTAATGCAGCAATCCTGGTAGCTGCAATGGAAAGAAGAGTCGGTGCTAAGAGGTTACAAAAAGACTTGGAAGCAGGAGGGTTTTTTATTGGAGACCCTTTCTTGGCCTGACAGAGCCAAAATAGGCTGCCTTTCATGTTGTAAAGGCAATCATTGAGTGTTTAGTCAGGGAGCTGCCTGATATGAACTGGAATTTTGTCCATGGGAGAGTTCCTTTTGTGAGTTTGCTTTTGTCCACTTTTTTCAATTGTTTCTGATATCAATTCTGTTATTCAAACAAAATTATTGTGTTCTGTTATTCAAACAAAATTATTGTGGATGCATGTTACAAATGAAAAACAAATGATCTTCTGAAAAATTCAAGAGTTCTGTGAGAGGCGGTTTATATAGCAAGCTAAAAGGAGATGTGTGGTTCATCTGACCCAGACTTACTGATTGCTCTGACACTCATTTACTGTAGGTTCTCATTAAGAGACTAGATTGCCAATTTTTATGCCCAAATTTCCATGTTAGGCCATACAAATACCCAAGCATCTCAGTTTCTTGCAAATTATTGATATTAAGAAATGCTGCCTAGAGCTGTTGTTTAGCTGGCATTAAGTGTGGGCTACTTCAGACTGTTTCTTTCAACTAGTGAAGCCTAGTCCCCTTGTTTGATATCTCATTCTTTTCATCCCTTGTCATATATATTAAAAGGCAATATATGGTAGGTGGGATCAAACAGTAGAGAGCTGGGGGGGGATGATTATAATTTAGAATCACATTTCTTCAAATGTCTTCAAGTCTGTCTTGGCTGTAGATGATGAAACAGCTGTCATGAGATGGGCATGCAAAGTTGGGGGATGTTTTTAATTGCTTTTGGCCCTTATCATCTTGAAATATTAATACTTGGCACATTTCTGATTTTTCATTTATTTTTAAAGGGCTAAGGTAAGTTTTACTGGCATAAGATTTGGATTTTTGGGTTTGGTGTTGCCTCAGCTATATTGTCTATCTGGGTTTACACTTACAGTCTTGAAGCAGATATAGCCTGGTATCCTCTTGCAGTAGTTTAAAGGGATCACTGAAACTGGAGGTGAGAAAAGATCTAGTAGGTCATCTAATCTACTGCCTTAGAGCTAATGAATGTTATACTGTACAAAGAGCACCATTTTCTAGTGTAGCATAAATTAAGTGTAACCTTAGATAATAAAGATTTTACTTCTTCCCACAGGAAGCTGCTCTGTTCTCTGAACTCAATTTCAGGTTTTGTCTTTTTGTAATATTCAACCTAACTTTTGCTTCTATTTCTTGGAGTTTGTATAGTGAAATGCTTAACCCTGATGTAACTCCTCCCTGCCCTAGTTAAATAGCACTGTCCTTTGCAGTGAAGAGAAGTCCATGTACTACTGTCAGAGGACCTGTTCTGCTCTCTAATTAGCACTGATATTGGACAGCTTGGAAAGCAAGCACCGTCACTGTATCAACCACGAGGAGAATTTAAGAATTACTGTATGGAGTCAAATAGACTCTTTAGTTTGCTCTCATTGTCTCTGGTCAATGTTAGGTGAACCACTCACGAGGCAGCTGAGCATTGCAGAGCTGGTAAATACCCCATGTTGCATATGCAACCTCTGTCTCAAGAACTGCATATGAAATCTGAGTGTTCCACCTTCTGTTTAGTGCTGACAAACAGAGGAGATTCTCCTGAAACTGATCTCTTTTTTTGGAGCATTTACATTTTACTTGGCATGTGTAAATCCTAATTAAACTAGGGATCGGAAAAAGGAGAATGACTCTAGTCCAGTGATTCTTAGAGCACTTGACTGAGAATCTGTATGTGTCCAGTGAGTTTTTCTGCTCTCACTAAAACCACATTGCTAGGAGGCATTGCTAGTGCTGTTACCCCAGCCCACTTTAAAGAATGAAATGACAACTAGATACCTTTCTCAGTAGGGTAAGATGTAGATTCAGATCTTCTCAGCCAGAGGCAGGAACCAAAATATGAACATATGAACTATTGAACAGCAGAAAAGTTGGGTTTTTTACACTTACAAACTGTGTCATCTATCTGTCAGGGTTTTGGGATTTTTTGCACCAAAGTCAGTTTTTTGTTTGGGGGCAAGTGAAAGGTCTAGATCAACACAATATTACGGTGGCAAGATGACAAAAACATTTTTTTGATGTTTGCTTTTAATTCCTTTTCCTGTTTCCCAAACATGCACATCCACATATGCATACACATGGATATCCTGAGCCAACTAAGCCAGTCATTTAGCACTCTCCTCTGTGGTGTGTCATTTTTAACACTGCCAGAGCAGGAGGTGATGGCCATTCTCTAATCAGCATGGCTGGGAACTGTCTTTTCATTCTTTTCATTCTGCTTTTACTGTTTCAACCCCTCCCCTCCCCCCCATTCCAGACTGCAATAGTCCAAATTATTTTTTTTACAGTTCTTAATCTAGGAAAACACTTGATAATGTTTCCTACTTTCAAGAAATGTAATGGCTGCTTGTTTAGGAGCACGCCATCTCCACTGAGGAATCCAGGGGTTTTCCTCACTTCCGGAGTTGGGTTATCTCCAAATCATTTGTGCTACTTAGTGATTTGGTTTTAGTTAGCAAGAATTTCCAGCCTGTATCCAGCTTACCGTGACAACCTTTAAGAAAACCACAGAGTGATGTAATGAGTGCATGCATGGAAAAATAAACAGCTCTGGAGAAACCAGCAGTAGCAGCCTCAAGTAAATATTCTGCAGTCACTGGGGTTTTGATAATGACGTTATTTGAAAGGAAGAATGAGTAATATATTAAGGTTAGCAGCTGAAGACAGGTTTGTGTGTGTGCCTAGTTTTTTTTTTTAAAAAAAAAGAAAAAACCCACAGCTGTTTATTTCACAATCTTGCTTGGAGAATGGGGGCCAATTCCATGTGGCCTGTTCTGTTCAGCTCTGGCGACCCAAGCATTGTACAGGCATCTCATGATGGCATTCCAGTGATAGCACTTTCTCCTCTCAGGAGCTCTTAGTGGACAGAGTAAAATTGTGAATGAGCTTTGAAAACAAGAATCGTGGTATTCACATTTCTTTTTCTTGAGTCCACTTGGAGTCAAAGCTTAAGGGCTTTTCAAAGGGAGAAAAAACTTGAAAACTGCATGTCTGTGTATACCCTACCATCCACCCTGAAGGGAGGCTCTGTATTGTTGGGTGCAGTTTGTCTCCAGAGATTTGCACAGTGAGGTGGGATGTGATTGCATCAAGTGTACTAATAGGATTTGGGTTCTCTGGTTTGTCTGTGTTCCTTTAAGTTTTTTCTCACTTGCAGGAAAAAAAGAAAAGGCAAGAAAACACCCATGGGCACTCCAAAAAAACCCCTCTCTAGTACTCAGCTAGGACCATTTTTGCTGCATGCCTTTCTTAACGATCAGGGATAGTGATTGCTTCTAGGGGGAATATACTCATGGCTATGTTGCCTTAGCCAAATGGAGGCTTTCTAGGATTCCATACATTAAAAAGGAGTCTGTTTTTGGCTATATTGAGTATCAGTGTAGTTCCTCTTGAGTCAGGTGAGCCCAACCAACATACAGCAGGATATATACATATAGAGCATGCTGATAAGCATATATGTATATACATATAGAGCATGCTGATTTGCCCTGGA